GCAGGAGTTCGTTGAGATGGCCTATCGTGTGGTGCTGCTGTGTCAGCGGCTGGTGCGTCTCCACGCCACATCTCCACTGACCCACTCCCTTCTCGACCCCTTACTCTCATTGGCCAGCAAGCGCGCCGCCGTCCACTCCCACCCAGTCTACCGGCTCATCCACACAATTCTCGACGCACAGACGGCCAGCACCGCACCGCTCAGCGACTTCGCCAACCGGAGCATCGCCCCATATGAGGTCACCCTGGCTTCCACCAACCGCACCGTCACCGTCGGGCCGAGCCCATCGCTCATGTGCTCGACGGACGTCATGAGCCGTGCACTCGAGGCCATCACTGAGGCACTGTCTGCCGAGGAGGGCGGCGGAGAGATCCTGTTGAGTGGTCTCGGCGCCAAGGGCTCGTGGTGGCGGTTGTTTCGGCCCCATCTCTGTCCTGCCCGCTTCGTGGCGCTGTACTGGGAGGCCTGTCGGTGTCTGGATGGGGAGGACAACGCGGCACGGCTGCTGAGGCAGTTTGATGTGACAGAGTGGCTGAGGAGCCCCAATATAGGCGATGTGGCCAACCGTGGGGAGGTGGAGAGCGAGTTTGCCGTGCTGCTGCTGGGCGAGCTCTCGATGCACAATCCGTCGGCGGCTCAGCTCCCCTTCAGAGAGCACCTGTGCAACCTCATCGAGGCCCGCCCCCACGTCGTCCACGCACTTCTCCCCTACATGATTGCGCCCTCGTCACTCAGGTGGCGACCCATCTGCATCACACACACCGGCCCGCCAGCCTCGCGCGACACCGATGGGCGCCAGGCAGCCTCAGTGATAAGCTTCACGAGCGATGCCTTCCCGGCGTCAGTGAGCGCTGCGGTTGAGAGGGTCGTTGGGGGCTGTGACGGCGGGCTCTTCGATCGAGAGGGTCGGCCGTACGCATACAGTGAGGTCAACCAGCTCGCTAACGCACTGGTCCCTTTCATAGAGCAGGTGGGGTGGGCAGACCCTGGATGGGAGGGAGGAACCAACGGCGAGTGACTTACTACGCGCTCTCTCTCTCTCTCTCTCTCTCGTGGTGGTGTAGGAGTGCAGCGTGGATGTGTTGGTGAGGTCGGAGGCGACGCGGCTGCTGACGGCCGTCACGGCGCAAATTGCTGAGGTAGGTGAGATACATTGGTATGGACAGAAAGGCCCTTGTATTGCACGTCGGCAGCCATTTCCACGTGTTTGATTCATTCGTTCAGCGTATGTGTCGCGGCCTTGCCGGCGGCACATCTATCGACCCGTCAGCCCAGATCATCGACCAGACATTCTTGTCCCTCATCCAGCGCACACAGTGGCACCAGACGGCAGCCAACGCCCCCGCTGTCCTGCCGGGTGTCACTCTCCTCCTCGACACCTTCGCCAAGACGGTCACCGCCATCTATCCCGACAGTCACACGCGGCTGCTCTACTGCTGGCACGCAATCCAGCGGGTTCTCAGCTCTCATTCCCCGCAACTTGACGGCGATCCGCCGTGGATCGGCATGCACAAGGCCGAGATGATCACACGGGCCTTCGGGCCGCGGCTCAAGGAGGCCGGTGGCCTGAGGCGTCTGGGGGCCAGCTGGCCTCTCCTGCGGGAGATTCAGGGGGTGCTGAGCCACCTGTCCATCGGCTGCTATCGGCGGCACAGGCGGTGGCATGCTTCTCGGGTTGACGAGGGCACGGCCATCGATGAAGGGTACCTGCTCGAAGGGTCGCCCACACACCTGCTCGGCCTGATTGAGGCGTGGCTGACGGACATTGACGGAGCGAAGCGCGGCATGTGGGTGAGCTTCCTGGAGGGGGAGCCTGCGGCTGCAGGCGGGGAGAGGACGGTATGGGACCCCTACATCGAGACACTTCTCATGGTGCTGCTCGTCGATCCATGGCGACCAGTGGGCCCATCGACACTGGCGTTTGTCCACGATTGTCTAGGCCTAGCGACGGGCACCATACAGACGCCACCAGGGTCACCTCTGCTGCCAGCCAAGGAGCCATCACAGGACCATGAGGAGAGCGGCAGCGCGTATGCCCATCTCGACCGGCCCGCCCTGCCTGCGATCTACGTGAGCACGTCGGCCTACCGGCACTCTCTCAGCGTGCTCGGTGGACTCCTCTTTCCCTCTGCCCATGTGGAGCACCACCCCGCCGCCCCTAGCAGCGAGACTCGACCGTCAGACGAGCCCTTCCCCCCCGTCTCTGTGCGGCGCAAGTGGCGCGAGGACGGCGATGTCAGCTTCCTCGGCGGCTACTGTCACCCCGAGAGGCTACAGCTGCTCGACACCATCCTCTATGCTGGCGCGACGCAATGGATACCAGCCAGCGAGGCTCACCAACGAGTGGAGCGTGGGCTGACGGGCCCGGGGCCGCACGAATGGCAGGCCCAGCTGCCGAGGCTGGCGCCACTTGTGCAATTCTGGATGGCTCCCGTGGCGGACAGCGCGGCCATGAGACAACAGGAGGGAGCGGCAACAACAGCACCTCAGACAACGACAGACGGCGGGAGTAGCACGACAAATGCTTCCCTGTCTGCGGCGGCCATGCAGACCCTCAGCTCGTTGGCGGCCACAGTGACCGACCCGGCTGCGTCGGCTGTCGGGTCTGTCATCAAGTCGACCTACGAGTACACGTCGTCACTCGCCAGCTACCTGCCCGTCAGCTTGTGGCCGCTGGTGCAGACGGAGGATGGAGAGACCCCTCGAGCCGGTGACGGGCTGGGCTTCCCCCCCTCTCTCGGGATTGTGTGCCTCTTCTCCATCTGCTGGCGGCTGTTCGAGGCGATAGAGGAGTTCGTCAACGGCCTGGATCCCTCCGATCTGATGGAGACCCTCCGCAAGACGCGGCGAAGGGGTGAGAGAGTGCTGCTGTGCCTCACACACGAGTGTGACGGTCCCGACAGCCATCCATCGTCACGGCGCTCCAGTTGGACGTCGGAGGAAGCCCTTATTGACCTCGAGAAGCTGTACAAGCCGTTTGCCCAGCTGCTGAACTACTATGGCGACAGGAAGGACGAAGGTCCCGCTGTGGGCCAGGTCAAGTGTGGGTCGGGGCAAGTGGTGGCTCTGCTCCAGGCTGTCGCGTCGCTGGTGGAGCCCCAAGTGGCCAAGTGGATCGGCTCACCGGCAGCCACGTCATGCCCACCGAAGACGTCGTCGTACATGAAGCTGCTGGTGCTGATGAAGTGGATCCTTGACGAGGACATCATTGCCCCATTCTGCTATAGCCTCTGCACCGAGACCCTCCTCCCACTCACCGCCCCCACCAGCTGTCTCGATTGGGCCGCCCTCTGCTTCTCGCCACCATTCGATGCGGCCAAGTTCGAGACATTCTGTGCGTCGAAAGGCCTCACGGTGTGTTTCGCAGTCGCGTGGGAGAGGAGCAGGGCGGTCGCCGCGCTGCGGTCGCGTCTTCAGCTGAGCGAGACGGCGCCGTCCACTTATCCCGGTGCCTTCCCCGCCGTCCCCAGGCCCTCGCCGGACCTGGTCGATGCGTCCCGCGTTATCGGGTGGATCAAGAGTGTCTCCGAGGAGCGAGAAACGGCCCTCACCGCGACACTGGATCGGCTGCTGTCCCACCCATCGATGGGGGAGAAGAGCAGCTCACCACACATGGCCGCAAGGACAGTGGCACCGGTGCGTCAGGGGCTCGATAGGCTGTTGCGCGAGGGGCAGGCCAATGACGCAGCGCTCGCCGTTCTGCTGTATGCGGTCCTGTCGGACTTTTCCAAAGAGCCGGGGCAGTACGCGACGGACGGCAGGGCAGAGCGGCTGGTGGAGGGACTTGTGCGCCTTGCTGGCTATGACCCTGCCCCCATACTGGCGTCCAAAGCACACAGAGACGGGTAGGCAGGGAAAGACACACGGGAGAGATACATACGCAACGATGACCCATTTGTCGCATGCGCGCCTGTGTGTGTTGATCAATCAGGTTTCTGGGTCGTTTTTTCCAGCGTGGCGGTGGTCGCCGGGCTGGTGGGAGTGCGTCGATCCAGAAGCTGGTAGAGGCCGCAGCCAGCGACCCCTCCCTGCTGCCGCCCCTCGCCCAGCTCCTCGGCGCTGTCCGCATGCAGACACTCGCGGCAGCACTGGCCCTATGCCTCAGCGCGACGGCGGAGCGTGCGTCGCCAGCCGGCCAAGCTGCCGGCCCCTTCCACGCCGTATCGCAGCACATGAGCTCGGTTTTCGCCAAAGAGACGATGCCGCCAGGCCTGGCGTCGATCGGGCAGCAACCGGGGGGCAGGTCGAGTAGCGGGTCACTCGGCAGTGAGCCCTTCGAGCCGTCGGCACCCGGCGAGAGTGAGCACCAGCCTTGGGTGTGCTGGGAGAGGACGGTCGGCGGCACCATTGAGTGCTGGAAGCAGGTGGGCGTCAAGTGTCTCCTACACCAAGAGATGGTGGTCAAGGGCGGGAAAGACAGGGAGACCAGCAAGCGTGGACGGCGGGGCAGCTCCAGCTCGGTGTCCGAGGATGAGCGGGCGACGGCTGCTGCTGCTGACAGTCCGGGTGTGTTGATGGGCATGGTGCGGGAGGTGGTGCAGATGTGCGGCTATCACAAGGCGGTGTTCGTGAGGCGGGCGATGGATGAGCTCGACGGGCCCGATGCGCTGGGTCAATCGTAGTGTCTGTGTCTTTGTCGGACGAGCACGCAGTAGGCAGCCATTGTGCGTCGAGAGAGAGATAGGCTAGGTGTCTGTTGGGCGATTGATTCGGTTTTTCGTAGGTAGGATACAGCTGTTTGTCGTTGTACGATCGATGGATGATATGGATGGACAAATATGGAGGGAGGGAGGCTGATTGACTGATTGATTCGGTGTACTATAGTACTGATATTAACTATATTGCGTGACGTGATGAGTGTCATTCTACGTGAATGTTTGCTTGTACGTATCCGCTGCCTGCCCAATAATGGCGATTGAGTGAGTCGTCGTCATCTCATTGAGTGGGGAAACCCTAAACCTAGGAAAAACCTTTTCTTGGTCAAACCCTACATCCTAACCCTTGAGTTGTCAGCAATTGGAATGAACGGCTGGCTTTCATCCATGAGCAACCTGCCGTGAAGTTGATCGGCCCTGCAGGAGCGTATAGAGGGCGAGATGGGCAACAACCACACTGCGGACCGCCATGGTGCCGTTATCGACGAACACGCACTCGACTTCCTTCACAAAGACGACAGAGATGCCCTCCACACGTATGCAGACCACACAGAAATGACATGAGGGAGGGAGAGCGGCAGTGAACAGGTGGGTGTGTCTGTTTGTGGGTGTGTGATCTGCGTATGTGTGCAGCCAGCCGGAGGTCGGCAGCCTCAGAGCCACGGCGCACTTCCTCTGGGAAGTCGACTTCTCGGCCGCCGTCCTTCGCAACCGACTCAATCGCTGCCTGGTGGCCAGGGGGCTGCAGACCATCATCGCATTCGACGCTCAGCTGGACCGCCCTCTGCTGCTGAAGGCCATCTGGCTGGTGGACACGCAGCAGTGGACCGAGGTGACCAATGCGCTGCGCTTCGCGCGGCAGAGGGGCTTCTGTCAGCTGCCCATCACACTGGCTGTGGTCGACCTGCAGCGGCACGATAGCAAACAGGTGGGCAGATGAGCGCGGGGCGGGTGGGTGGCACTCATCGGTCTGTCTGTCTGTATGTGTGTGTGTCTGTCTGTCCGTCGTGTGGTGTCTGTGTAGGCGTATTTGGCCGGTGTGCGTGTGATTGGGTTGTGGAAGATGGTCGGCAGACACGTCAACTTCGGCGGCGACTACGGCCGTTTTGAGCTGTTCGACCAGCCGGGCGGCGGTGTGCGTGCCCTCCGCGACGAGCCGGGCTACGAGCTGGACATCAACCCCCTCCTCCCCCCCGCCCACCCATACCACACACACACCATCAACGACAACCCGCCCGTCAAATGCCGAATCCGCCCGCAGGGGGGCAGCTGGACGGCCGGTGATGAGGTGATCACTCATGCTTCGGTGTCGTCCTTCATCATGAGGACCATCATGGCCCCCCCAATGGCCAATTGGGGCAAGACGCCTTTGGTTCACGTGGATCGGTACGCAGGCCACACCACACTCAGGCAGACATCCATCCATCCATCCCATGACGGCCTCTTCCCTCTGTTATGTGTTGGTCTGTTTAGGCATGCCCACGGCGGTGTGCTGGACGGCCTCCTCAACCAGTCGCCCCACCAGCCCCCCAACCGATGCACCGCCATTGTGGCGACCAGGGTGGACAGTAGCCATCCCCCCGGTGAGATTCGCACTGTGCTACTGACACCACTCGACAGCCCATTCGTCGCATCGATCGATCTGGGTATCTTCCCCGACGTCCACATGGGTAAGGGAACAAGATAGCAGATTATCTGCTGAGTGAGTCGTCCTTTATGCAGTGTTTGTTTCTGTCGTCACCAACGAGCCGCCAGTCGGTGATGCATCTGATGCCATCAAGGACCGCCGGCCCACCACCGCCCCTCTGGTGGGCGGCCTGCTGGGCAGCACCATCGCAGACATGGTGGTCAACCAACAGGAAGCCGCTGATGAGGGTGAGTGTGCAGCCGGCCGCCCCCGTCTCTGTGTGTCGGTTGGATGAATCGGCGTGTGTGTGGTGGTGTGCAGATGAGGGTGCGGATGACGACGATGGCGATAGTGGTGAGGGTAAGTGGTGTGTGTGCGGTGCCCAGCCCGCCTTGCTAGGTGTCTTACTCCTATGTATGTGTGTGTCTGCAGAGGATGACGAGGATAGTGCGGATGACGGCGACAGCGATGAGGGTGAGTGGGAGGAGGATGAGTGGGACGACACCGACGGAGAGGGCGAGGGCGATGGCCAGCAGCAGGAGGAAGAGGGTGAGATGGGGGCAGAGGATGAGCCAGATCAGAGCGACACACATGCATTCATTGTGTGCGTCATGGATGTGATGTATGCAGGTTGATCGACTGCGACACTGGTCGGTGGGGTGGGGGGTGGACGGATGGATGGACGGAGGATGGACAGGAGGCCAGACGTGGCGTATGCACGCAGCCAGCTGCCTCTCATGACATGATGTAGACAGAATCCATGCGCTTTTGCAGCAGACAGACTTGCATGCATTGCATTGATGTGTCCTTGTGTGTCTGAAGAACCCTTTCTGTGTACACGTATGGTATGTGTTCTTGACGGAAGCTGCTTTCCGTTTGTTCTTCGTTTCCACAGACACACACACGAACCAACGGCATGGCGCACACAACCTCGGCCCATAGCATAGACACACACACGCACAACAGACGGATAGGCAGACACCTCACCTCCCTCACCACAAAGCATCCACCAACTATAGCCTTTCTGCTATACTATCTACCTACCTCTCTGCCTACGGCTCGCATCATCACCTCGCCCCTCTCCCCCCCTGTCTGCTGCTGCTGCTCCTCCGATTCTTTGCGAGTCCGATTCAGTACCATGCTTCTGAATCCATGCATGTCTCACAGATCAGTAGATCGTCGGTCTATGAACCCTAGACCCTAAACCCGCGATCGCGATTTACACGGTTCCACGGCAGCAGTGCCAGCAATGCATGGCGGTGCGCAGTGATGAACACTCGCCATTGGCATCTGAAGACCAACCAGGAGCTGAGGCTCCTCATCGGACGAAACGACAATGTATCCGTCACGGTAAGGAGGACACGACACAAGAACAGACACACAGATGGCATGCTCTTCACTCATTCATCGCCTGTGTGTGGGCCATCTCTCTCTCGGATGCAGTTGCTTCCCGACCAGGACCGCAGCGAGCAGCCTCAGGGTCGGCAGCAGTTCCTCACCCGGCCTCCCCTCTCGGCAGAGATCTTCGGCGCATCACTATGCCCAGGACTGCAGCGCAACCTCGCCCGCGGCGAGCAGACGGCCGTATACACCTGGACAGGCTGCACGCTGGAGGTGAAAGGTCTGGAGAGCACCGACCTCTGCTACCAGGACCAGAACCCGCCGATGAACGAGTACCTCAACACAGCGGCGGTGCTGCATCGGAGGCGACTCGACGCCCTCATGACCAGCAAGGGGGGGCCCAGGGTGGGTGGGGAGAGGGGGGGAGAGGATGACAGACACAGGAGCTAGCTAGCTGCAGAGTGGTTGGTTGGCAACTTGTCCTCCTGTGTGTGTGGGTGTTGGTCAGGTGTTGATAGCGGGGTCGAGCTCGTCGGGCAAGACATCCCTTGCTCTGCTGCTGTGTAACTATGCCGTCAGACAGGTGAGTGAGTATGTGTGCTGTGCATGCCAGGACGAGAGGAAAGGGGCTGAGAAGACCTACCTCACCATTGTTCGTCTGTCTGTTGCCTCTGCGTGTCGATATATCGATCAGGGCTGGACCCCGGCTTACGTCGAGCTGGACCCAAGGTGAGCATCATTATCAACGGCAGGACGTGTGTGTGTGTATGTGTAAGTGTGTGGTCTGACCTGACAGGGGCGGCAACGACAAGCTTCAGCTGCAGTTTTTGCCAGGCACCATCGGCGCGACCCTCATCGATTCTGTCGAAACAGAGGTAGGTCACCAGCACAGCAAAGACAAAGCTGGCAGAAAGCCGGGGCTTCGCATGTTTGGCTGGCTCAGGAGGTGAATCGGCCGTTGATGTACTTCTTCGGCAGCCTGCACATCAATGACGACTACCCCCTCTTCAAGAAGGTAGGTACCCACCAGATGGAACGACAGACAGACAGACAGACTATTGCGTGTCTGTCCATCAGTTGTGTTCTCGTCTGAGCGCGGCCCTCAACGTGCGCATGGGTGACGATGCGCTGTTGGACATGGCTGGTGAGGATGAGCACCACCCGCACAGCAAGCCGGTGGAGATGAGGGCCCCCGAGAGGCCGCCGCTCGTGCCAGACCTGGTCATGCGGCAGGAGGACGGGCGCGGCGAGCCTACTGTCCGCGACCTGCCGCCGAGAGAGAAACTCACCTACTCAGGTATGTCCATGCATCCACAGAGTGTACGTGACTGACATGGTGGGCTCATCTGTTTGGGGGGTGTGTGTGTGTGTGTGTGTTGTTTGGCTTGACCACAGGTGTGATATTGAATGCGCCCCCCCAGGCCAGCAGGGACCACATCCGCGACATCGTGCGGCTCTTCCAGGTGGACGTCGTGCTGGTCCTCGACGACCCATCGCTGAGGCAGGCCCTCGCCCAGCACTACGACAGCAGCCACCAACACGATGTGGGTGGCCACCTGGCCGCACTCCTGCCCAAACCAGACCACGGCGGCGAACAGTCGCCATCGGCCACGCGCAAGGTCGATGTGGTCGCCTTGCCCAAGGCTGCTGGCGTCGTGCAGGTCAGCACTCAGCCAGACAGTCTGGCGCGGAGAGAGACAAGGAAGACGTTTGGGTGGATGGATGTGTGTGTTTAGGTGACTGAGGAGCGTATGAAGGATTTGCGTCAGCGTGTGGTGGGTCGTTACTACCACGGCGACCCCGAGTATCCCCTCCACCCACAGGTCATCACCCTCAGCTCCACCGCATGCCACTTCTACAAACTCGACGCATCAGCATTCTCCTCCTCACTACTGCCGGCAGGTCAGTCAGTCATGCAGTCATGCCTTGTTTCTTTCCTCTCACTCGTGTGTGTGTGTGTGTGTGTGTGTTGATTGCGGTGTGTGTCCATCAGGTCAGCAGCAGGCGATGCTGCAGGAGTTCCGGCCGTCGGCGTACACAGGACGCCCCCCCGACCTGGCCCTCTCATTCCTGGGCGTCACATACGCCCGCCCAGGCAAAACTGAGGACCTCCTCTTCGCCAACCTCGCGGCACTCGTCTTCGTCCAGGCAGTCGAGGTGACCTACCAGCGGAGGGAGGGACACACACACCGGATCGGACACACACAAACCCTTCCTTCGGCGTCACTCGACTCTTGGTGTCTGTCTGTCAGGCTGAGAGCACCGCTGAGGAGGCGGCGGCAGCTGATGAGAATGTGGCCATGGGCGACGACGCCAAGGCGGCTGGTGGTGGTGGTGGTGGTGCGCCGACGTCGTGGAAGCTGCAGCTGCTGTGTCCTGCTGGTGGGGAGCTGCCGTCCAAGATGTTTGTGGTTGGCCAGCCGCAGAAGCTGCGGATGCCCACGGGCGTCCACCCACTGCACCAGCTGTGATGAATGGATGTGACGGACAGACAGACGCTGATTGACGCCCATGTGGATAAGTGACCGACCGACAGACAGACAGACAAACGCTGGTGGTGGTGTGTGGTATCAGCCGTCTTTGAGAAGGTGTATTGCAGGCTCTGTCGCGTGTTAGGTCGCGTGCACGACGATAGCACCTGCAGCAGTGCTTCTCCAAGGCGGCTGGATGCACCCACCATCCATTGCTTCGATGCCAGTGTGGCGTGGCGTGTGTGTTGTTGTGATTGGACCATGCGCACTGATGGATGGATGGATCCATAAACGACGTTTGCAATGCATTGCAAAAGTCCCTCGATGAAACAAACAAACGTCGTTCCATTTGCCAGATCGATCGATTCACTCTATCGAGGTATACAACAGCACAGCACAGCACGATCGCGCAAGTGGTGGTGAGGTAGATAGAGGCCATCCTGACGAATGTATGGGAGAGAGAGAGACACATATGTGTCAGTAATTCCGATCTTCCATACTCGGCACCAATCCATCCATCCATCCGACATATGCAGTCCGTCCATCTGCAGTCGTCCCTGCTCGAGCCCAGCCCGTGTGTGCGTCTTGTGGCCCTGCCCCTCACCCAGTGAACTGAAGGGAAGGACCCACAGGACACACACACTTCAGGCTCAAGCCAGGAAGCGACAGAGATGTCCATCCATCCTTCCGCGATGCATGGCCATGGCATCCACGGATAGTCGACACGCTCATCTAGCTAGGTCCAAACTCAGGATGGATGTGTGTGTGTGTCCATGCAGTCAGTCAGGACAGAAAGAAGGAAGCCTCACGAGTGAGTGAGTGGAGGCCGTCAGCTGCACTTGTCTGTCTACCCCCCCCCCCACACACACACAGTCACACACACAGCCGGCCCCCTGCGATCGAAAATGGTAGGTAAGGACACACACCTGAACCAGGCCCAGGCAAGACACACACACACACCCGCACACAGTGGTCCACATCCGTTAGTCTGTCTGTCTGTCTGTCACTGTGCCACCGCCCACCTGCAGCTGTGGTGGGCTACGCTATGCGCCAATTGGGTATGCTAGTCGGTCCTGCAGTTGCCCTGTGCGGCGGTGCCGTCCTCGGACGCCTGCACCTGGCTGCGGATCTTGCGCAGCCGATCTAACACCTTCCCAAACGCAAAACTACCCTGATTTACACACACAACACACGACACACAATGCTTGTTGTGTGTTTGTCTGTGCGTGTGGTGTGTGTGGTGTGTGCCGACCGCGTTGCTCCAGAAAGGGTCTTGGTACTTGCGGCCGTCCTTGTGTTTGTTCTCGTTGCACACGCCCTCGTAAAAGGCAAACTGCTCCACGAAGCTCTCCTTGACAATGCCCCGCAGGTCGTCCGGCAGCCGCCCGCTGCCCGACGCGTATCGCCTGCTCATGTCGAGCAGCTTCCTGGCGTACTCACCCTCCTTGTCGCTCGCGGATGCCGACGTGCTGCTCGTCGACGGCATGGACGCCGGAGGAGCGGGCTGCGGCTGGCTGCTGGGGTGGGATGCCTGGGCGGCACTCGATGACCTGGCAGGCTGGTCGGGAGGGGGCGAGGTCTTGCCTTCGTCGGCGAGGATGGACTCGACCACCGAACACACGGCCTCGCGGAGGGTCTCGTAGCGGAGCACATCGTTGTAGGCCGCAGCCTGGGGGACAGACACGGGCACACAGACACACACACACAGAGAGAGAGGGAGGGCAGTTGGTGTGTCTGTGCAGGAAAGGTGCACGCCAGAAGCTGACCACTGTGGGGATATTGTGTTCAAAGTTTGCCTGTGTTGTGTGTGGAAGGACACCGGATGGGCGTGTGTGTGGAGGACGGCAGGTGGAACCGAGCTCCTTCCCATGTCGGTCCACCTAGGGGCGCTCTAAGTAGAACACTTATGGTCTCCTTCCAAAGCGCAATCGCATCTTCATCAATGTCAAAGAAACGCTTTGCTTTGGTTTTGAGCAGCGTCGCCTGGTCGCTGAGAATGGGCAGCATCTTCCTGAAGACAGGCAGACACAAACAGAGAGAGATCTCAGCTGGGGAGCCTTCTGGCTGCTTCTCGCTTCGTGTGAGGACTTCTGTGTGTGCGCCTCTCTGCGCCGTTGAAGGGTTTGCAAACCCTACACCCCAAACCCTAATACTTTCGCTTTGGAGGCTTTTCCCCATTGCAGGGGGGC